GCAGATTACCTAGGTAATTTGAGAAATGGAATAATTTTCGCAGCTTTAACGGATCACCCTAGTTAATCTGCAGATTAGCTAGGTAATGTACACATTAACGGATTTCGAGCTTTAGCGGTAACATATACATCGTGACGATGTCGCAATAAATAATTGCTTGTTTCATATAAATTCTACTCGAGTTGCAACATACTGCATTTGGGTAGTTGTAATTTTTTTTTTCAAGTGGTACTAATACTTGTGAAAATTTAAGAATGGATACATACATTAATAGATTAACCTGATAGGCTTAAGCCTAGGGGTTTGAGAGGAAAAAACAGATTGTTAATTGATATGTTGTTACAACGATATATTATTTAAAGTTAACTTAACGTTACTTTATTCTATTCTACAAAGAATGGGAGGAGCAAAGTTAGGGAGAGCCTTACTAAAGCTCAGCCTAGGGAGTCGGGTAGTAGTTAATCTGTCACTGGGTACACAATATCAAAACTTTGGGAAATACTCTTGTGATGTGTTAAATATTTCAAAAACTGCTGCTAAAGATGATATAATCACTCGACTAACCCATCAATTAACAATTTTACACAATAATGTAAAAAATTTATTTACCAACAAATATAACAGATAAAAATTGCATTTAAAACTTTAGATTATGTATAAAAAAATAATTTAAAATTTTTAGTCGTTTTGTATAAAAACAAAATATAAAAATTCATTTACATTTTTACAAAGGCATCGTTTTCCCATTTCTCACATTCGGTGTAACTATTCCACCAATTTTCGCGACGATCCACATTTGTCTCGTGCTTTTGATGTAATTTCTGGCACAGTTCACACATCCAAGGATACAAATAACTCTTATATTTTCTCTTCCAGTCAAAATACGAATTATATAAATCGCTATCCTGGCTGACAACCTTCAGATAATCTGCAAGATCCTTTGGATTCGGGAAATCTCTTGTATCTATGAACGAATGTGGAGGAGCTATAGAATCATAATTAGCACCACCCATGACAATAGGAATTATATCATAATTTAACACATTAAAGAACTTTTCTGTTACATATTCGCTGCATATTGAATTCTCGAAAGAGAGATAAAATTTGTATTTTTTAAATATATCTTCGTAGCACTGTTTGGATTGTGAAGGTTCGCATTTTCTACTGCCACAGTTTCCATAAACGTCAATATCAATGTATTTTGATAACTTTTTAGCATATTTCATCCTGTTGCTAACGCTATGGCAGTTACTAACAAACCATACAATCTCTCTCTCTTTTCCATTATGGTAATCCTTTTCATTTACATTACTAATCTGTTCATCTTTTGGCAATTTACATACTTCGCCATACTTTACTCTTACATCAGAGTCGCTTCTGTAACCCATGGTCCAATCGAATAAATTTCGTTTCTCCTTCCATGAACTTTCAGTCGATATTGATTCTAAAGTATATAAAATCCACTTTTGCTTTTTGTATTTAAATTTTGGTAAGTCATCGGATATATCCCATAGATGGAAAAGAACTGCATCAGCTTCTTTGAAGAGAGATCTGTTGTTTGTGACAAAACATTGACTGAAAGAGCATTGATAACGTTTAAAAGTATCAAATCCTTCTTGAAAAAAGTAAAAATCTGTAGAAAAGTTATAATGAAAATATTTAGTCCACAGGAGTATAAATTTTGCTTCGGAATCGCTATAATTTTGCTTCTCGATTCTAACTAATCTTGGTTGATTGAAGCTTTCTATCTCGATTTTTGGAGTGGGGCATTTCTTTACTTTAGTTATCGTTTTCTTTCTCGTTATAATAAATTTAAATTTCCTCTGATATTGAATGGTAATTAGCATAAAATATAAAGACATCATTATAAGCACTATGGCAATAACTATTAATAATTGTAGGCGATTTCCAGTAGTTCTGTTCATTTCTCACTTTTCTCTTTCAGGAAATCTAGAAAATTTTATTAAAAATATAATCATGTTCATGATAAATTACATTAAACGAACTAATTTTACATAAAAATATTTAATTTATTTTAAATATTTTAATTACAATTTTTTAAAAATTCTTCTCCGCGTTAAATTTACTTTATTCGTAATCGAAATTGGAATGACTTCTTGGTCCACAATTAAATTTTTAACAAAGGCAATATTTTTTAAAAGAAATATTCCCAGACAGACAATTATAAAAATATTTGTTGTTGTAATCCTGCAACTTATATTTCTATAGAATTTTAATCATTGTACGTGTACTGAATTTATTAAAATCATTTCTTTGTTTGGGGTGCCTCTTTCAAATTCTCTATAGTCTTATGTAATTGTTCTGTAAACAAGTAGAAGGAAAATTTTTGTTTAACGTGTTCGTTACCTTTCTTTCCCATTTTTAAGTATAGATTTTGATTTTCGACAAATTTTTTCATGGCTTCACTAAATTTATCAGGTTGCGGTTCGCAAAGAAAGCCCGTTTCGTCATCAATTATTGTTTCTAGGGGCCCACCACTATTAACTGCTATGACAGGACGTGACATGTACATTGCTTCCAGAGGGACTATACCGAAATGCTCGTTATCGGGAGTATACAACACGGCCGTGCAACCGTGTATCAAGAGTAACTTTTCTGTATCACTCGGGGATTTCAGGAAGGTTATGTAATCTGATACTTCGAGATTTTGGGCCAATTCTTCAAGTTCTTGATAATACTCGATGTTTTCGGTTACTCGATCGTCATATCCTCCAGCTATGATGAGGTGCACCCTTCGAACCTGATCCGAAGGCAATTCTTGAAGTAATTGTTCTGTAAATATTAAAATTTCAATATAAATTGGAGAAGTTTCTGAAATGTACGCGATAAGAGTTTGTGTTTTAGTTACCGAAAGCATAAATGGCAAGATTCAAGTTCTTTTTCCTTTCGTAGCGGTTTATTGATAGAAAAATCTTATTGGCATTTTTTCGAATAACGTCATCGATACTTCCACTTGGTATGTTATCGTAATTTGCAAAGTTGAGAGATGGATACAATACTTCAAGCTTGCAATCCATTAATGTTGTAAATGTTTTTCTGAAAATACCAGCTAACAATANATAATATAATGATTATATTTATACTAACTATAATAAGCTATTTTTATATCGTAATATTATATATTAAACACTGTATAAATATGCATCGAAAATTAATATAATATAGATCTATATTAGACCTTACAAGTAATTTATAAGATACTGTAGGCCTATATCATGTAATTTAGATTCGCATAAAGATTTAAGCTTACATTTATTTATAATAAATTAATAGTAATAATTTAATATACAGTACTGTAATAATGCATGAAAGGTAGAATTATAAATATTAATATTAGAAAAATATAATTAATTTAAAAAAAAAATAAACTAAACCAATGGATATAAACAAAATTAAGTTACTCTACTAGTAAATTTTATAAATCATCAAATTTATCTCCACAGATTTTTACGAAATATATTATTTATGCAACTACTGTATTTATACATAGAAAATCCGTATCTCCCTATCAGTTATTCATTATCAATCATTAATTTATAATCTAAATACAATCTCACTTTTTCTTTCTTCGTAAAAATTCCGATAATTCCACTAATTGAATCTGTGTGAAAAATATTCTACTATTGAAATACAAAAATTTTTCTATTATCTTACCACTGTAAAATATATAAAAGAGCAGGATTATAGCGCAGTTCCTGTTCGTCTGTTAAAATCACCCCACTCTTACTAAAACTTTATTTATAACCTATACAGGAAATAGGATTTACATTTATCCTGTATAAACGATTATTATATAAGGTTATATCTATTGGAATTTATTTTTGTGAGTATTAAAGAAATGTAGGCTAATATTTTTAAAGTCTTATAAATATTTATTATTATTTAAAAATTTAAATTTTGTAAAAATAATTGATTTTTAAATACAGTCAAACCTCTGAACAACGACAACTGACAAGAACATAACTCCCAAAAAACGGGCCTGTTTTATTTTGTATACATTTTTGTTGTAAAGAAAAAATGATGGTAACTGTTTAGAGGTGGCCATTGTTGCAGGTTCGACCGTATCTGTCTCAAATATTGAATATTTTAATAACAACAACACTGCTATACAGTGAAACTTGTGTAAACCGGACTCATACGTTACAGAATATTTTTCCGGTTTGGTAAGTTTCCGTTTTGAACAGGGTTTTTAACACAAAATCCAGAGTTTCTAAGAATTTTTTCCGTTTAGGCAGGTTTTACTGTATATATATAATTTTCATATAAATTATGTTTTTGTTGATTATAGAAATTATAATTATTAATCTCTCAGTAATTTATAACAGTAATTCATTATACAGTCGACCCACCTATAACACTGTTGATTATTCCGTTTTATATTATTTCCATGTTGTACGAATCACTTAGATTTTACAAATACGAGTCACTTAGATTTTACAAATACGTGTGCCGGGCTGTGAACGGCTCACGTATTTGTAAAATCTAAGTGACTTGTACAACATGGAATTCATATAACACGGAATTATCTACAATGTTATTGGGGGGTCTACTGTATATTACGTTTTAATGTTAATCTTTTCAATATTATTGTAAATATAACATACTTTTAGTATTAATGTTTATAAAATAAATATTTTATTCTGCTTTTTAATTTTTAACAGAAATTACTTTAGCTATTCTATTTTATAAATAAAATATAGCCTAATTAGCTATAGTAAATAATAATTTTTTTTATTTACAAGTATTTGAAATGTCAATAGAGAAATTTTGATTTAACAGTAGTTATACTGTATTTAGTTACTTACATTATTTATTTATTTTGAATTTTGGAGACTGATTTACAGCATGTTAGCCCAAACCTCGACTGCTATCTTAATACTTCGTTTGCAAATTTGCATATTAAGATTTGAATAATGAATGAAACTGCTTCCCACTAATTTATAGTTTAATTGTGATTTAAGTGTTAAATAATGTTCTATTTTATATTTTTGTAATCAGAATAAATTAAAAACACAAGCAAAATTTTGTTTTTGTAAGCATATTCAGTATGCAAATCAGCAATATATAGGTCTAATAGGATATTGTCAGGCGAGTTCCCTTCTAGATTCTTTGTCCCTGACCAAATTGAGATTTTGAATAATTAAATTTGAATTAAAATTTAAAATATTTCGAACAATTATACTAATTATTTTAACAGGAAAGTTCATTACTGGTATTTCTAGTTTTACGATCTCTGGTCGGTTCTTCTATATTTTGAACCTTGTACACCAGTTAAGTCTTATGTGTATTTAAAATATAACTCATAAACTTTTAAAAATCCTAAAGTATGTAGAGCTAAATAGCCCAGTTTCAAAGACTAGAGCAGAGGTGGAGAACGTGCAATCTTTCGTGTCTTCTATGGCGATTTGATATTAAAAAATAAGTTCTGGACATCTTTTCCGATAAATTAACTAAAAAATAAATTTCTTTCAATAAAGATATCTAAATATTTTTATATTAATTAATCTGCATTACATGCTGCCTTTAGGGAATGTGGCTTTCTAATTAAAGTTTCAACCTAGGACTAGAGAAACAACCGAAAAACTAAATCGTATTGTTGTATATCTTGATCCTCAACAATAAATACGTATTTTCAATTTATAAGGAATTGTACGGCGGTTTGTTAAAATTGTAACATTTTGAAAAAATAAAGCTTTCAACTTTTCAGAATTTATAATTTTATATATAATTTTACTAGTTAAAAAATATTTATAATCAAATAAATGATCAGAAATTATTATATTTTCACGTTAATAAACTTTTTAGTTATGTTTTATATATACGTACAAATGTCAACATCATGTTTCAGTTGAGATCATTTAAATTGTGATGGGTTGACCCGTAAATTTATTAAAAACCATTAAAAATGATATACATTTACATTCAGGGGTGGATCTAGGTTTTTTCGGAGTCTAGGGCTTATTGAAGTCCAATGGGGCCCCATTTTTACCAAACCTAGTAACTATTTTTACTATACGATAAGTGCTCATTGTTAATGAAAAAGTATAAAAAATTTATGATGATAATTCAATTTTTGTGAGCCCTTGAGATTTGGGGGCCCAGGGCTTAAGCCCTATTAGTCCTTATGTAGATCCGCCCGTTTACATTAATTGCAAATTCCAATAAAATTCACATTATTATTCATATAAATCCTAAGGATTTGTTAAATATTTTAGTTTTATGACGACTTAAAACTACGACCCCAACAGAAGTATACAAAATGTGATATTCAAATTTTCTCTAAAATAAACTTATTTTAAGATTTACAATTTTGGAAAGGGTGCATTATTTTTAAATATGAGAAAATAATAAATTTTTTTGGATGTACAGTACCTTTTTAAAAATATATTTTCCATTCTCTTCTATAAACACCAACAATTGGTGTACGTGTTTGTCTCTTAATTCCCTCATTCCAAATCTTCCAAAATGTGACGTGGTGAATTGCAAGTAAGTTAAAGGATGTTTCAATTAACTGGGCAATTTGTCTGGATACGAAAGGCGTCGAGTCAAATAAAAATAAAAAATTTAAGAATTTAATTCTGTACTATTGAAAACGAATTCCCATTTGTTACACACAAATACACAAGTTAGGGGGAAAATCTTATAAACATATGTAATATGAATTTTGTTTCCCTCGTCGATCAATTTATTATCAAAAATAAATTTTGTACTTCTGAAATTAAAAAGAAATACGACAAAATTATTTGGGAATTGTCCATTTACAATTAAGAAAATTTTCAAAATCGTTTTTTAGATTTTTTCGTTTACTTTTCTTCATTTAAAACTCCAGAAATACTCATTTAAGTTTGCAAAATACACTTTAAAATTACACTATCTTCATCCATTTATAACAGAACTTTTCTTATAAATTATTAAAACAATTTAAAAACTAGGTCAAACGGAGCAGTTTCAAATTAACAAAAATTACTGAAAAAAACTTAAAAATTACATCCTAAATTTAGAATATCTTCATATAAAATTCATAGATTTTCATCGATTTATATTATTTTCCAACATTGAGTATTTTATAATCGAATTTAGGAATAAGAAATTTGAAATATTTCTTTCCAAAACGCAAATTTAATTCTAAAAATGAAAACATATTTCATAATCAACAATTATTGAATAATATACAGACTACTGTATCACAACAAGGAACTTGTCCTTGTCTTTAATTTCATCTTATTAAAAAAGAAGGTCACTTATAATTAGATACAGCTAAAGTTGGTATCAATTTACACTGAAAAAAAAAAATTGAAATATTAAATATTGTAAAAATTTATGAATTTAGTAAGATTATTATTATTTTTTTTCTTGCAAAATGTTGAGAGAAGTTCCTGGAGTGAAACAGTAAACAAAGATAATGTAAAATTTACTTATGTAAGTATGGACAATCGAACTGTGTTCGTGTTACCGATATCGATTTTATAAATTACAGCAATGGAAATGAGATATGGACTGGACATTTTGAATGATATAGATCAGTCAATAACGCCGTTCATAAATAAAAAATTGAATAAACCACATTTGCACTTTATATCGATAAATTATTTCATTATGGATCTTAATGAAATAATTTCATCAATTTAAGTCAATCTTTATTTAATAATTTATACAATTCACCTTTAGAGAAATATAAAGATTTATAAAAGTTTTATAGAATTTTCTTCCATTGTAAAGGCTGTACAATTTTTATATTAATTTAACTGCAAAATTGGTCAATTTTCTTATAAAGTAATACAAAGAGAATCGGATCTCGAGAAATTTCGATACTTTACTCTGGAATATATCATATTTCAAATTTTAAACTGTGAAGTTTAATTATTTTAAAGAAGAATTTCTTAAATGACATTATAAAGATTAAATATTTGTGAATAATATAATAGAACGAATTTTTAATTACTATTAAATAGTAGATTTATTTACATAATGTTATTAAAATGTAATTCAAACTTCAACCATATCCACAATCTTGTATATATCCCTTATATACAAATAAATAGTGAATATTAAGAATTTGATATTGCAAAATTAATCAAGTTCATCCCTAATCCTAGAATTCTTTTTTATACTTTTATAATTTATAGATTGAAGAGAATTGTACATATCAAAGAATTTACCACAGAAATTTTTAGACTTATTTAAATATAGATTTTATTAATATATCGAGGGAAGAACTTGGTCCATTTTACATTCAAGATATGTTTACAGTACAATTTTGGGCACAGTTTCTACAGATTTATATTTTTCTTATTAGAAAAATGAGATAAATTCTTACTTAAATCAAACAAAATCAACACAATTCTCAGCTTTCAAATTCAATTTCTTAAGTGTTTATTATTTTATAACTTTGTTCTTTTAATATGAAACAATGTCCTATTGTACTGTATTCTTAATAGATCTGAACTGAACAAATAATGTATACAGTTATACACTTTATATTCCTTTTTCACCAAATGTTTTCTTATAAACATCTGAATATGATCGATTAAAGATAAAGGGCCTTCATAAATTTACATAAATATTGTAATAATTTAAAAATATTTTAATTACAATTTTTTAAAAATTCTTCTCCGCGTTAAATTTACTTTATTCGTAATCGAAATTGGAATGACTTCTTGGTCCACAATTAAATTTTTAACAAAGGCAATATTTTTTAAAAGAAATATTCCCAGACAGACAATTATAAAAATATTTGTTGTTGTAATCCTGCAACTTATATTTCTATAGAATTTTAATCATTGTACGTGTACTGAATTTATTAAAATCATTTCTTTGTTTGGGGTGCCTCTTTCAAATTCTCTATAGTCTTATGTAATTGTTCTGTAAACAAGTAGAAGGAAAATTTTTGTTTAACGTGTTCGTTACCTTTCTTTCCCATTTTTAAGTATAGATTTTGATTTTCGACAAATTTTTTCATGGCTTCACTAAATTTATCAGGTTGCGGTTCGCAAAGAAAGCCCGTTTCGTCATCAATTATTGTTTCTAGGGGCCCACCACTATTAACTGCTATGACAGGACGTGACATGTACATTGCTTCCAGAGGGACTATACCGAAATGCTCGTTATCGGGAGTATACAACACGGCCGTGCAACCGTGTATCAAGAGTAACTTTTCTGTATCACTCGGGGATTTCAGGAAGGTTATGTAATCTGATACTTCGAGATTTTGGGCCAATTCTTCAAGTTCTTGATAATACTCGATGTTTTCGGTTACTCGATCGTCATATCCTCCAGCTATGATGAGGTGCACCCTTCGAACCTGATCCGAAGGCAATTCTTGAAGTAATTGTTCTGTAAATATTAAAATTTCAATATAAATTGGAGAAGTTTCTGAAATGTACGCGATAAGAGTTTGTGTTTTAGTTACCGAAAGCATAAATGGCAAGATTCAAGTTCTTTTTCCTTTCGTAGCGGTTTATTGATAGAAAAATCTTATTGGCATTTTTTCGAATAACGTCATCGATACTTCCACTTGGTATGTTATCGTAATTTGCAAAGTTGAGAGATGGATACAATACTTCAAGCTTGCAATCCATTAATGTTGTAAATGTTTTTCTGAAAATACCAGCTAACAATAACAATAACAGCTTAATTTTTTAAATAAAAAAATAGAAAATAATAAATTGTATTACTTTTAGTATCCTATATTATTTTAATTAGTACGCTATATATATATCAAAGACTACGTTAAATCCGTAACTTTTTTCAGTACTATTATTCATTACATCAACGAAAATTTCGGAATACAATATAGAGAATATATCATTCTAAATATCAAAATTATCTATTTAATAATTTTTATGTCATTTAAATACCGTAATTCATGCTAGAAGTACTGATTCAAAATACAACTTTCTACTCAAACTGGAATAATAAGACGTGTCATTGGAGCACTGTACGTTTTCACGTAGATTTGACGTCGTTTCTTAGTCTTACAATGAGAAATTCATCAAGAATGGCATCAAATTTACGTTAAAAAATATCACACAAACTCTTAAATCTTCCCTCGAAAATGTAATACAAAATTTATAATAATGAAAAATAATTCTTTTTAGCAATCCATTTTACAATAGTAATTGATAATTGACAAAACTCAGAACTAAACTATTGAAACATATCAAGCAATTTTGGGCTAATCAATTGAAAAATGCACTCGTTCAATGATGCACAGTATTATAATTTCTTGTTAAGTCCAAACTGAACAAAAAATAATTTGAGTTTAGAGAATTTCGTACAATTAAAACACCTCCCCTTCGTAGAGCATTTATAGTGTATTTCTTCCAATCGGTAATATCAGCAATCGTAGATTTACACATGCAGGGCTGTGCCGTGCTATGATACAGAGAGGCGACCTCATCAGGCGGCATCGTAAGGGGGCGGCATAAACAGCATTTAAGGGGCTGCATAAGCATCATTTAAGGGCGGCATTTCGAAGACTTGCATCATACTGAGAAAATCTAACGCACGGCCCTGTACACATGGAGATGAAGCCAAAAGCACTTCGACCTAAGAGACCTTTGTGCACTCCACAAGAAATTACCTCAGAAACTCAATCTCCTTAAAGAAAAATAAACTTCTGAAGACATCACCAGACTGTTCTTATATATAATATATATAAGAACACAAAAGGACAAAGATCTGTGCACTCATAGATGAGGTGCAGATAAGTCAAATTTTAACTCAATTTGTATTTAACAAAGTTGATAATTCTATTTTCCAAGATTTTGAAACGAACAACAGATACAATTAACTAAATACTGAAAAGCATGGATATTTTTAACACAAGTATTTAAGTATTGAAATAATACAAATCTTTTCGTGTAAAAAGACAACTGAAAGAAATTAAAAGAAAAATCGTATCAAACTAAATCTCCTAATTATTTATAAATTCGACTAATAACATGCAAATTCTAAAGCAAATTTCCTGGGTTTAATTACGATATAATTCGGATTAAGCATTACACAGTGGATTTATGATGAAGCTAATTAATTATCAATCGTCTCATGTAACAAAGCTTTACGAAAAGGTATGAGACGAGATGAAAATGGGAGAATTAAAATCATGGTCTAATCTATCACGAAGATTATTTAAATATCCTCCATTTCCGATAAAACAGGATGAAACAGTCACGAAAGCAATTTGAAAACTATAGATTGCTTAATAGGCTATTCAACTATTACGAATTTATTTTCTTTTAATACGATATAATAGAAGCATACTGAGTTTTATCATTCATTTAAATAGGAGAAAAGTTACTAATTTTAAAGTTAAACGTAAGGAGCTTTCTTATTTATCCTCATAATTTTCAAGTTTTGAGATCTGAAAACAAAAAAGTCAAAATTTTTCAATTGTAAAGCATTAAATTTCCAAATAACTGAATTTTTTACTGTATTTTGAATATTTAAATTCGAAATTATTGTAAAGTGCATTTTTTAAATGTAAAGTTGAGCCTAAATCAATATTGTTACTGCTACAATGTTAACAGACAAATAATTTGCAGACACCTCGTTTACATTTAGCTTTTAAAGTTTTATCACGTTACTTGGAACCGTTTCAATTATTTGAAATGCATTTTATATTGACAGAAATACGCACAAATATCGTTAATCCGAATTAACAGAAATTAAATAAAACAAGGTCGAAAACTATTTTAGTTATGAAGGAAAGCTTTTACCATTTCAAAAATTATTTGCATAGTTGTTTAGTGTTCCCATCATTTATATAAATAGTTTAATTACTAATAATTAAAATTTAACGTTGTTGTATTAATTTTATACATTAGTGAATTAACTAATTTTTAAAATAATTCATTTATATACTGTTTACAGTTGATATTTGCATCAATAAATTGATTTTCTTGAAATGATTTTTCTAAAGCTCCTGCAAGGGTCGAAACAAAACGTATTGATTAATAATTGATTCAAAATTATATTTATATTGAAATTTATTTCTCGAAACTTTACCTCTATTATTATAGAAAGAAATGTATGATTAACCAAATGTTCTAGAGTCAGATATTATAAAGAGAATGAAAAAGTTTCTTTGCTATATCAAAATATATGAAGTTAAATTAATATAACAGAAATAAACAACAAGAAGATTTGTCAAAGAATTGAAAATATAATAAATCAGAATTTTGAATAAATTTAAAATTGTATTCTTAATTAAAACAAAATCATAAAGCATTTTTATACCCGTTTTATGACCATTTGACAGTTCCAATTCATTAAAATTATTCCAGGATTAGCCTATAAAGTAATTATTCCTTTTCCAATATACTCATTCATTGAAATAAATATTTTAAAATATATTTATTTCAATATTTTCAAAATTTATAATAATAATTTATCCAGAAAAAATATCACACTGTTTATTAAATTTCTCTGAAATAACATACCACTAATAGTCCAATTATAAAATTGTAAAAAACTTGATTTTTTATCCATTCTTTTAAAATTGAGTTTCCAAATATGAATGAAGAGATAGAAATATAACAATTTTTTAATAAATAAAACTTTCATTTATTAGTTCATATATTTAGATTTAATATTTATATTAGTATTTAGAAATGTAAATTTAATTTGAACAGAAATCTGCTTTCAAAGTTCTAAGAGTTCTTTTAGAAATGAAATTTTTATTCTATGGAAAATTCATATAATTGGATTTTATGACTAAATTATTAGGAAATAAGAAAATTTGATGAAAGACTATTTTACCAATGAAAAAATAAATACAAAAATTTATACGGATAATAAACAAATTTGAAACCTTAATTCTTTATTATTAAGAAATAGTGTAAGAAATTGTTTTTCTTATGATGAGTAAACTTTGTTGTTATAAATTAGTACTTATAAGAGAACAACTTTATTTAGTAAATGAACAATCAGCATAATTCTTATAAAAAAAAATGATTACAAGATTAATAGTTAAATTAAGAATCTATAAACAGAAGTTATAACACCTTTTCTATCTTTCCAATATAAATATATCTTTTGAAGATTTTCTTAAAAAGTACAAAATGTTTTTGTAATATTCCTATTGAAGTATAGAAACAAATATCTGACTTCATAAATAACTACTGCTACTATAATACTTTCTAAATTAAAAATGAAATGAATTTTAATGATCTACAACAATGGCATAGTAATTTTAAGAATTTTAGTTTGCTTAATTATTGTTTTGAATACGATACTGACATTATGCAACTAAATGATGCAAGAAACTAAATTTTTTCATTATCTTGTTATATTTTACATAGTGTTTACTATGTTTTATAACTACAAAAATAATTAATAATAATAAAATTAATTTAACACACAAAATTCAGTATTCTTGTTTTTTTATAACATTTGTAATATGCTTGGAAAAAAGTTATATTTGCAGAAATTATATTTATTTCTGAGCTACATACTTTATATTTTAATAACTCACAATATTAGTAACAAATAATTAAAAAATTGATAGTTTTATATACTGTACTTAATTTTGCTTTTAATAACATTTAAAATACTGTCCTACAATGTACTTTAGACATACCATATGAGAACATCTTTAATTGAAATGCAAAATACTTTGTTTTATAGCCACTTTTAATAGGTATTTAATGAATAAAAAAATTTTAATATATTTATTAAGATAAAAACAAATATAATTTCAAAAAACAGGAAACATTATTAGTAAGATAATTAAAATTATTATGTATTCATTATATGCTTCAATTACAAAAAAGAATGATAATTTCTAAAATTTCTAAGAAATATTTAGAATTTAATTTAAATGAACATATTTTGAAATATATTAAAAACTTAAAGTTATAAATATTACTGAATATATAATAAGCATTTTATGCATTCTCTTAAGATTTCAGTTGCAACTCTATAGAATAGTGAGGAAATGATAGAGAAATATCTGGAAGAAATCCTAAAAGAAAAACAATATGTCTCAATCAGCAGTTCATGTATAGTAATATATAATGCAGTCTTCTGACAAAGAAAAAGGGATTTAAAATATCTATTTAAAATCTTTAAAACATTCAATGTTTTAAAGATTTTATTTTTATCTTTAAAAATTCAATGTTAAACAAAACTTTCATTTATTTCATTATTTAATTTAAAATACATCATTTAGCCATCATTTATTAACTATAAATTAATTCATTTTATTGTATTACTATTCAGTTCAAATATTAGTCTGCATAATTTTTAGTCTATTTAAAGATATCATTTAAGAATGAAAACAACTTACTGAAACTTATTCAGCTAACATTACATAACTTGAATGTACCATTGTTCATATCTCAATCAGTTCTATTGAACAACTCAGTTCATTAAACTTGTAATATTTTTTTTCAGTGTGATTAATTAAGAATAGACTAAATTAATATTTCATGTGTATATATAATTATCAAAAGTATTTTAATAATAGCACTTTTTGTAAATCAAAATTTATTTCAAACATAACAATATAAATTATATTATTAAATCATTTCTAAACAAAAATTTTTATTGTAATGTTGAAAAATAAGTTTATCACCTGAATCATTGTCTCAAAAAATTCCAAGACAAAACAGTGAAAGCATTTAGATTCAGCACATTTAAATGAAGGAAATGAGGTTTTCAATGATATAAATGAACTAAAATTGTTGAAAATTACTAGATCAAGTTGATCCAGTTAGCAAAGCTTTTTTAATGATTAATTATTCAAATCCATCATTCAGAACCAAATATACCATATCTTTCAATATGTACTAACATAACAAAACTTAAAAATATTCTATATTATATTAACTGCTACTATTTTATAATAACCTCCCATATTGTATAAAATTTTATTTTGAAAATTTTCCAGATAAGTAACAATAATATAATTTTTAAAACAAAAAATATTGATAATGAATAGTTAAACTCAAATGCAAGTAAAATATATATACAGGTATCCCTCATACATGGTACTTTTACAACAGTGTTTCTCAACCTCTAACGAATCGTTGCCCTCTTTAATAAAACTGTTACATAGTATCGCCCCCTTTACTACAAAATTCTGATGGTGCGGGACAATGCTAATGCCAAATTTGTACTGCATTGAATAGACTAGTGACTAGTAATATTGTTTGTTTAATTATTGTACAATATAATGAATAAAATATCTAATTATTCTTAATATAATGTTTTACTATATCACCCAGAAAATTGTTTTTTGCCCCCAAAATATAAATTGTTACTAATCGCCCCCTCAACATGGAAAAACGTCCACATGGGGCGATATCGCCCCCATTGAGAAACACTGTTCCACAACATGGTTTGGAAATTGTGGAAGTCCTCCATACAATGCAATTTTTAAGTGTGAACTTTGTTATTTAATATATTTCTATTCAAGTAAGCATGCACGTTGTCTCAAATTTGTCCACAGATTTTAGAATATTGTAATTTTCACTTTGTTTTGTGCCTTTTTGTCAGGTTTACTTTAATGAAAACTGATAGTAGAATTTTTCCTTCCTTGTTCTAGCTTTCCTATCAACCAGGTGTCACTGTTGTTGCTTTCAAACTTCAACCCTTAAGACTGTCACTGCATTTTCTTTTTATGGATCAATTTTCATATTTAGTGAAGTTTATTTAAATATTTTTAAGTAAGTGTTATTAAACTTTTTTAACCATAGGTAAGTAATCATTTGTAAAAATGACAAATGAAATACAGCAGTATCTCAGTACTAGAACTGTTCCCAACTGGAACAATTTGATATTTGAACACATATTCTGAAAAAAAAACAAAAAAAAATTGCTCAGTATTCAACTGAACAAACGCGACCCTCTGGAACAAATTTTCAATTAATAACATATTTTTATTTTGTCATCAATAAAAAAAATTATGATAAAAATTAAAAAAATAAAGATGCTGCTGATATTTCTGGTATAGATCAACAAAAAAGCTCAGATGACAATGATACTTTGTAAAAACATGCTCTCATTTAACTAAAATTAATATTAACAGTACTTTTAATTGAGTTTGTTAGTTAATTATCAATTGGAAATATAATATTGATTGCTTTAATAAACATATTTCTCTTAGTAATGGAAAGAATAGTATACTTTTGTTAACTTCTGAAATATAACCCTATGTTTTGTATTAATCTTTTGTTTCATATAACATAAATTTGCATAACATGACACTTTTTCAGAATGCATGTACCATATTATACAAAAGATACCTGTATTTTGTACTTAAATCAGGTTTAATTATTTGTTAATGTAATTAATAATCATTTTAAATGCTATTACAATTATAATTATAATGAGGTTTAAAATGAGATTTGATAAATTTTCATAAATACTGATACTATTATATCAATATATCACATTAAAAATGTATTGATAGTATGTAATAAAACTTAAAGCTGACCACTATATGGTAATTATATGCTATAAAGGATTGATGATAGGGAAGGAAGTCAGGACTAGTCCTATAGCTCTGTACAGGGCTAGATCATCTCTCTATATGATTTTAATTGTGAACAGAACTAAAAAACCATTTTACATAATTTCAAATACATAAAAGCAGAAAAATCAAACATGATAAACTGGAAATAAGATGAAGTTATAGAAAGGCCCAAGAGACCCTATCCCAACAGTTTGTAATTACTCTTCAGTTTTTTTTTTTTGACTATATATTGCCAATTATAAGCACACAGTTAAGGTGTTCACAACAATCAATGAATATTGTATGTTCAAATATTTATAAATTACAGTATAAATTTACCAAAGGCACTGACATATCTTCTAAAATTTTGTACAAATATGCTTACAAAAAATATTAAGAACTATCATTTCATTGCTTTCTCCATTAATTTATTATGTATTTAACTATTCAACTTCATAACTTACTTTACTCCAAATATAAATAAAATTTGCAATTATTTCAGTAATTTTCCAAAAAGTCTTATGTAAACTTTAATCAATCTTAATAATTTACATTTAAATTATTTACATAAAATATTTAAATATATATTATTTTATTGTATGTAAAATATTCATTATAATAGGATGTTTCAAAAATGCTGTAATATTTAAATATATAAATGCAATTTTAAATTTCTATTTATTAATCTTTTAATAATCAATTAATTCTTATTAAGATGGAATTTACATTTATAGTTTTTAATTATAAATTCAGCTAATTTAAAATCAAAATGATGATAGATTTTCACAATATCTGCAGAATAATTTCTAAAAAATAAAAAATGTTTTTATAATGTCCTGTAATTTATAATAATATGATCTCATTGGATGATTTTCAATCAACAGCTGCACAAAATTCACCTACAGCTNATAAATCTAAGACCATGTAAAATATTCATTATAATAGGATGTTTCAAAAATGCTGTAATATTTAAATATATAAATGCAATTTTAAATTTCTATTTATTAATCTTTTAATAATCAATTAATTCTTATTAAGATGGAATTTACATTTATAGTTTTTAATTATAAATTCAGCTAATTTAAAATCAAAATGATGATAGATTTTCACAATATCTGCAGAATAATTTCTAAAAAATAAAAAATGTTTTTATAATGTCCTGTAATTTATAATAATATGATCTCATTGGATGATTTTCAATCAACAGCTGCACAAAATTCACCTACAGCTGCAGATAATAACCTAAGAAAATTATTAATTGTTCATTTTTACTACTAAAATTATAATAAAAATTCCACTTTTATGATTCATAATCAAGTGTCATTTTGAAATTAATATAAAAATTTACAGAAATAAATATAATATTTTCAAATATGTAATATTTTTATAACTCTGAATTTATTTCTAGTTATTTGTTCATGATATAGGATTACCAAAACTGCAACACAATCATTAAATCTGTGAACAGAACAAACTGTTTACATTAAAAATTTTAAAAATTATAAATATTTGAAGTTTCCAAAAATTTAACTTACCAGTATATTTGCTGTTAACTAAAATAACATCAGCCATTCCAGTTGTTTTCTCTTCAAGCCAATCTAATGGACCCCTATAAAGTTTTTTTAGCCAATTTTCTCTGTCTGTTAGAAGTTGATCAGGAAAATGGCAATAATACACAACTTTTGCATTTTTCCTTTTCAAAATAGGAATACAAGCAGATATCTGATCACAAAATATTATATCCGGTGCCATATCTGTTCTATAAACTAAAAAGAATGCTGCATATATCATTCTGATGTAGGCACAGAGAGCATGGAAAATACCAAAAATACTTCGTGGCAACCAGTCTCCAACACATATGACTTCCAGAGATCCATCGGTTGTTTCGGCAAAAGCATGAGTAGGGTCATGATGTGCAGTTACAAATTTAACAGAATGCCCTTTGGATTTTAAAGCAATTGCTGCATCTACTACTAATCTTTCTGCACCTCCAATTCCTAAATCTGGATGTAAGAACACTACTTTCATTTTTATACTAGCTGCTTTTTCATTTCTCTAAATTAAAAATAAACAACAAATTTTACTTGTTATTTAAAATTACCAAATTTGATCCTTATACTTAAACTATTATACTCAAATACAATTACATTTTATATTTTATCTTCATTTATATCATATTTTAACTCCATTCACGTTATAGAATAAATTACTTAATTAAAGCTAAACAAATAATTTTAAAAAATCTATATACAGATACGTAATCTTGATTTAATCTTTGCAATTAAAAATAAAATATATATTTTCTTACTAATACAAAAAAAGCATCAAAAATTTTTTAACCCATTTGGCATTTAAAAGATTAAAGCATTAATAGAGAATAGAATATGATATTGCAATATATTTTTGGGACAACTCCAAATTCTAATACATTTAAAGTTTTAAAAGAATCTGCTTATTGTAATTTTTACATTTAAAAACAAAAATTTAAAAACATTTACTAGCCTCATTAGGCTGGTAAATGACAATTTCCAGTTTTGGTTTAGTGATTTTTTTTCATTTCTATTAATGCAGAAACTCTCAAAATATTAGTTTTACAAAATTCTAACAGTTCTATAACAGATTGATTATTTAATGTTATATTATATTATATACTTTTTTAAAAAAGTACTTTAATTATTGTGCTAAGTTGAAAAGGAAAATCCACCTAAATTCAATCCTTTGTTATGTAGTGTCACGCAATAATTATTGATTATAGAAAAATTTCACTAATAAAAATTTTTTCTAGATGCTAATTAATCAGCTTGATTTATTTTTCATTTTTTGTGATTTAAAGAATACGTTTAACGGTACATTTTGCAAATTTGAAAAATAATGTAATATGTTATTTATAACTCTTTTTCTATGGGTTGCCCCCATAAATTTCTGTTTAGGAGGCCTCTCAAGAAAACAAAATTACAAAAAAACACGTGAGTAATTGCAAACTTTTGCTTATTTTATATTTAATACTGATAAAGTAATACTAATTAAAGTAGATATAAGAACATACAAATATACACATACATACACATTAATCCAAACTTTGAACAGTATTGCATCATAAAGATTAGAGCAACAACTAATCTAATTATAAACTCAAAATATCTTTTTAAATTTGAGTAATAATAAGCATAACACAGTGTATAGTACATATTCACAGTTATTTTTAAATTATATCAGCATTAATTCAAGATCCCTTATTTAAAATTACATGAAATGTTAAATTATATTCTAAATTTAACTTAATTCATTGAAGATTTGCTTTGCGTACAACTACATTGTCAAAATCACAACATAAAAACTTACATAACAGCTTATAACTGTTTAGCCTCCAGTCGCTTTCTACTATAATCGACACACGTGTATAATCTACTAGTCTATGTGTACAAATTAATATTTGTTCATTTTGCCAGTAGAGGCAGTAACATCGGTAGTAACTGATTATATAAGTAATATATATATTTACTTATTCGATTTAGATAATTGTTCTTAATATTATATAAATTAAATTAATGATATATTTCTAAATTGTTTTTATTGCATTTTTATTGTACGATCATTTATTAACTATTTATAAACTTCATTAACCTCGAGGACTAATAAGTCAAACAATATGATAGCCAAAATATCGCCAAAATTCCAGCGTACTAATTTGAAAATTATTATTACAAACGTACTAATTTCATATTATGTAATGAAAACTCTTTTATTATTACAAAACGAAAATAATTTTTAAAAGTTGTGTAATAATAGCAATCTGAATGGCAATTTGAGAGCGATCTGCTAAGACGACAATCTCTAAGCATATATGAATGGATTGACCAGCTGAAACGGCAGAGGACTGTGTGTCTAGTGACTCAAATTGAAGTATGATCGACTCTGAATTTCAGGAGTGCTCAAGAAGAATGGCGGTGATGGACGGGGTCTGATGTACCAGAGTACATCAGACCCCGTCACCGCCCGTACCAGAGTACATCACCGCCCACCATCATCATAATCTTTTGGTGTTTATGGCCTTTATAAGGGTAGAACTCATTATGGGCCCCTAAGTTTCCTCTCGGGCCAACAGTGACCAAGCGGTTCCATTCCCTGAACACTGGAAGTTCGGTCGTGGATTCTCTCCTCTCCCGGACGGGCTGGCCACGTGAAGTTTTCCTGGTTTTCTCCACGTTTGAAACGCCTGAATAGGGGACAGTTACCCTTAAAAAGACCCCTCGGAAGGCATCCCCCTAGGCAGATTGCCCAAGTGTTGCGTTGCCATAACTTAATAAAACAAAACAAACAAGTTTCCTCTGGCTCAGAGAAAAATCATTTCTTTATCTGATGGTTGCAGCTCTAATTGGATGGCCAGCAGTGAAATCCTGGGACGCATATCGTGTTGCGTGTCGTGCTGTAGTCTTTTTAGGTGGTGGTTACTTGGTCAGAGGATCTATCCTGAGTTCTTCCGATAACTCAAAGAAAACGATACACGGGATATTCGATAAGTCTCCTTAGAGAAAGGCAGTTAACGAACCTTAGATAATTCGCTATTTTCTGCTCCACATTAGATAGGTTTCGCTACGGATAGTCGGTTGAGATGCGTTTGTGTACTGTGCTATCGATAGCTGTTACGCTTTAACCAATCACAATTTAGTTAACATTGTCTTTTTGTCACGTAACTGCAACCCGCCGTTTTCGAAGCGAAGCAAATGTTTTTAGAATTGTCGTGTACCAACCGTTAGCCAGTTTTTTTGTGTTAAAATATCAAAGAATGGACAGCGCAGCCAACGAACTACAAGTCATCAGTTCGAGATATTAGTTAAAACACTTCGGCTCTAGCTTGTAATTCATTGCATAAATGTAATAGTAATGGCTTCGTCTCGTGTCTAGGGTGGTTAGAGACTGTGAAGAATCAATTCTATAATAAGTTCTTTTACTGTCTTCTGTCTACTTTCTTATTCAGGTCTATTCCTTTATGCATTGGAGTCCTGATTAGTTATCTGTGCGCCGTAGTCATTGTCAACAGTGACAGATTTTAGGGATGATAGTGAAGGATCGCTCTCCTGAGTACTATAATGCCTTCAGGACGGATAAGCTGTTAAAAAAATTGTGGTGTTTGATGGTATCTAGTTAGATGAATAATAGAATAAATGCTTGCTGCCTCTTCCGAGAATACTAAACAGTGAGGCTCACTGAAAAGGTGGCTTCGTGCGACATGTTTGCGATGACTGTTCTTACCGTTAAGAGGGAGGAGAACATGGAGGCATTGGCAGATATGTGGTCGTTTATCAATATTTGTCTTAAAATAAAAGTAATTATATATAAAACAAATTATAAATTAAAAACTAACAATTTGCCATTTCTGAGAAAAAAGCGTGAAATACCTACAAAACAACAAAACAACAGCCTCATGGCTGTTGTTTTGTAGGTATTTTGTAGGTAGGTAAGCTTCTAAGATTGCTCCCTTTGAATCCAATCTTGTTTTCTATCTTTTCACATACTATCTTCTTAGTTTACGAGTGTCTTCAAACATTCTAAATCTGTGAAAATTGATTATACTGTATTTGGTCTCTGTGAAAATGACAAAAAGTAAATTGGTACATCGAAATCGTCTGTTTAGAAAGATAGGCGAGAAAATTCCGGACATTCGCCAAAAATAAAGAAACAAGATCCAATCTTTTAACGTTAAATTGCGTTGCAACCAACAATAAAGTTTTAAAAATCGTCTTTTTGTAAGTGATCTGTTTTCGTTCGTGCGATGAAATACATTTATTTTGAGTGTTTCTTAAGTTTTGCTTTATTTGCGGCGATTATTCTAGATAAGTTTAGACTATAATCTTTATAGATTTAGATTTTTTTAACATTATTAAGAGGAATGTTACAAATTAGCAGTTATCATTTTCCGACTTTTAGCGGATACTTCTACAGCAATTGATCGGCCGTTTTGCAGTTTCTTCAAAGGAACGAACTGGATCTTTCTAGTTAATTTTGGAAAATGGATTAACTCCTTTCATTGTTAATTTTCGTTAAAGGGCTGTGCATAAATGACGTCCATACTGGAAGGATGGGAGGGAGTTATGGCAAGTCGGACAAAGTCGGACAAGGGGTTATGCTTCGATGGACGTTCGTTTTATTTCATTAAATATTACACAGTTTATACATTTTATATTCCGTTTCATAAAGTAATACAGATGTTGAGAGGGATCGAGTGTTGTTGAACGTCCGTAGTGAGGAGTAGGTTACGGAAATATGGACAAACTGGGATAATGGGGGAAGGGAAGTAATTTCTGTGAAAACNGATTAGTTATCTGTGCGCCGTAGTCATTGTCAACAGTGACAGATTTTAGGGATGATAGTGAAGGATCGCTCTCCTGAGTACTATAATGCCTTCAGGACGGATAAGCTGTTAAAAAAATTGTGGTGTTTGATGGTATCTAGTTAGATGAATAATAGAGTAAATGCTTGCTGCCTCTGCCGAGAACACTAAACAGTGAGGATCACTGTTATGTAGTGTCACGCAATAATTATTGATTATAGAAAAATTTCACTAATAAAAATTTTTTCTAGATGCTAATTAATCAGCTTGATTTATTTTTCATTTTTTGTGATTTAAAGAATACGTTTAACGGTACATTTTGCAAATTTGAAAAATAATGTAATATGTTATTTATAACTCTTTTTCTATGGGTTGCCCCCATAAATTTCTGTTTAGGAGGCCTCTCAAGAAAACAAAATTACAAAAAAACACGTGAGTAATTGCAAACTTTTGCTTATTTTATATTTAATACTGATAAAGTAATACTAATTAAAGTAGATATAAGAACATACAAATATACACATACATACACATTAATCCAAACTTTGAACAGTATTGCATCATAAAGATTAGAGCAACAACTAATCTAATTATAAACTCAAAATATCTTTTTAAATTATAGAGTAATAATAAGCATAACACAGTGTATAGTACATATTCACAGTTATTTTTAAATTATATCAGCATTAATTCAAGATCCTTTATTTAAAATTACATGAAATGTTAAATTATATTCTAAATTTAACTTAATTCATTGAAGATTTGCTTTGCGTACAACTACATTGTCAAAATCACAACATAAAAACTTACATAACAGCTTATAACTGTTTAGCCTCCAGTCGCTTTCTACTATAATCGACACACGTGTATAATCTACTAGTCTATGTGTACAAATTAATATTTGTTCATTTTGCCAGTAGAGGCAGTAACATCGGTAGTAACTAATTATATAAGTAATATATATTTACTTATTCGATTTAGATAATTGTTCTTAATATTATATAAATTAAATTAATGATATATTTCTAAATTGTTTTTATTGCATTTTTATTGTACGATCATTTATTAACTATTTATAAACTTCATTAACCTCGAGGACTAATAAGTCAAACAATATGATAGCCAAAATATCGCCAAAATTCCAGCGTACTAATTTGAAAATTATTATTACAAACGTACTAATTTCATATTATGTAATGAAAACTCTTTTATTATTACAAAACGAAAATAATTTTTAAAAGTTGTGTAATAATAGCAATCTGAATGGCAATTTGAGAGCGATCTGCTAAGACGACAATCTCTAAGCATATATGAATGGATTGACCAGCTGAAACGGCAGAGGACTGTGTGTCTAGTGACTCAAATTGAAGTATGATCGACTCTGAATTTCAGGAGTGCTCAAGAAGAATGGCGGTGATGGACGGGGTCTGATGTACCAGAGTACATCAGACCCCGTCACCGCCCGTACCAGAGTACATCACCGCCCACCATCATCATAATCTTTTGGTGTTTATGGCCTTTATAAGGGTAGAACTCATTATGGGCCCCTAAGTTTCCTCTCGGGCCAACAGTGACCAAGCGGTTCCATTCCCTGAACACTGGAAGTTCGGTCGTGGATTCTCTCCTCTCCCGGACGGGCTGGCCACGTGAAGTTTTCCTGGTTTTCTCCACGTTTGAAACGCCTGAATAGGGGACAGTTACCCTTAAAAAGACCCCTCGGAAGGCATCCCCCTAGGCAGATTGCCCAAGTGTTGCGTTGCCATAACTTAATAAAACAAAACAAACAAGTTTCCTCTGGCTCAGAGAAAAATCATTTCTTTATCTGATGGTTGCAGCTCTAATTGGATGGCCAGCAGTGAAATCCTGGGACGCATATCGTGTTGCGTGTCGTGCTGTAGTCTTTTTAGGTGGTGGTTACTTGGTCAGAGGATCTATCCTGAGTTCTTCCGATAACTCAAAGAAAACGATACACGGGATATTCGATAAGTCTCCTTAGAGAAAGGCAGTTAACGAACCTTAGATAATTCGCTATTTTCTGCTCCACATTAGATAGGTTTCGCTACGGATAGTCGGTTGAGATGCGTTTGTGTACTGTGCTATCGATAGCTGTTACGCTTTAACCAATCACAATTTAGTTAACATTGTCTTTTTGTCACGTAACTGCAACCCGCCGTTTTCGAAGCGAAGCAAATGTTTTTAGAATTGTCGTGTACCAACCGTTAGCCAGTTTTTTTGTGTTAAAATATCAAAGAATGGACAGCGCAGCCAACGAACTACAAGTCATCAGTTCGAGATATTAGTTAAAACACTTCGGCTCTAGCTTGTAATTCATTGCATAAATGTAATAGTAATGGCTTCGTCTCGTGTCTAGGGTGGTTAGAGACTGTGAAGAATCAATTCTATAATAAGTTCTTTTACTGTCTTCTGTCTACTTTCTTATTCAGGTCTATTCCTTTATGCATTGGAGTCCTGATTAGTTATCTGTGCGCCGTAGTCATTGTCAACAGTGACAGATTTTAGGGATGATAGTGAAGGATCGCTCTCCTGAGTACTATAATGCCTTCAGGACGGATAAGCTGTTAAAAAAATTGTGGTGTTTGATGGTATCTAGTTAGATGAATAATAGAGTAAATGCTTGCTGCCTCTGCCGAGAACACTAAACAGTGAGGATCACTGAAAAGGTGGCTTCGTGCGACATGTTTGCGATGACTGTTCTTACCGTTAAGAGGGAGGAGAACTGGAGGCATTGGAGATATGTGGTCGTTTATCAATATTTGTCTTAAAATAAAAGTAATTATATATAAAACAAATTATAAATTAAAAACTAACAATTTGCCATTTCTGAGAAAAAAGCGTGAAATACCTACAAAACAACAGCCTCATGGCTGTTGTTTTGTAGGTATTTCACGCTTACAAAATACCTACAAAATACCTACAAAACAACAGCCATGAGGCTGTTGTTTTGTAGGTATTTTGTAGGTAGGTAAGCTTCTAAGATTGCTCCCTTTGAATCCAATCTTGTTTTCTATCTTTTCACATACTATCTTCTTAGTTTACGAGTGTCTTCAAACATTCTAAATCTGTGAAAATTGATTATACTGTATTTGGTCTCTGTGAAAATGACAAAAAGTAAATTGGTACATCGAAATCGTCTGTTTAGAAAGATAGGCGAGAAAATTCCGGACATTCGCCAAAAATAAAGAAACAAGATCCAATCTTTTAACGTTAAATTGCGTTGCAACCAACAATAAAGTTTTAAAAATTGTCTTTTTGTAAGTGATCTGTTTTCGTTCGTGCGATGAAATACATTTATTTTGAGTGTTTCTTAAGTTTTGCTTTATTTGCGGCGATTATTCTAGATAAGTTTAGACTATAATCTTTATAGATTTAGNGACTTTTTGTACAAAAGCCTTCAAAAACCATACTTATAACTTAGTTACACTAACGAAAAATCCAATTAGGAACATCTAGTTTAATAGTTACAATTACTTTTTGCACAAAAAAATGTGGGTGTAGTTATGATACCTTGTTTACAATTCACTAAAATGTAATTGGGGTTCCATAATACCACCTTCTCCTCTATTATATTATATTATTGCATTTGTAAGCATTTTTGTGCATGAAATATAGCTAAAAGGTTTTAAAAATGGCTTTATTTTGGAATCGGGCGAATTAATCCATATTATATTGTTTCTTATGAGAAAAATTTGTTTTGGTTTTAGAACTTTTAGGAATTGTGTTCAAAAACAGAACTTTCCCTCTGTTACATATAACTGAGCCCAGAAAGTAACATAGAATTCACATTTCAATTAACACTCGAATTTTGACATAAAGAAGAGAGTTTTGCATCTAAGAATATTTACAGCATAGATAAGAATGAAAATAGTTGATAAAATTAATAAAATAATCCCTCCATTTATGCGAATTTACGCAATTCCATGAAAACAGAGCATAAATGAAAACCGCGTAAATGGCATGGAAAGCTGTTTAAAATGGGGATCTGATTCATGTTATCAAATATTGTATATTATTTAACTCTACAGATTTTTGGAAAAACGACGCACGATACATTTTTGTTTTAAACTCGGTGAAAATACAATAGAAACATACGAAATGATTCAAAAAACATTTGGCAATACTTCTCTGAGTCGTTCAAAAGTTTTTATTTGGTATTCTCGATTTCGGGACGGCAGACAGAGCATGGCTCATGATAAAAGGAGTGACCACCCACAGACCAGCCAGACTTACGTTAACACGAAGCTTTTAGCACTCCGATTGCATTAGATTGACGACTTTTTTGGTTTGGTTCTTTCTGTTCCCATGGGCACTAAGAAAGCCTTTTCTAATAGGTCTATTATAACTAGTGATGTAACGAATATTCGGTTACTATTCGGTATTCGGCCTATTCGGCCTATTTTTCACTATTCGGCCGAATACCGAATACCTAAAAACAGGAGTAATAAATAACAAAAACACAGTAAATTAATCATTTCGGTACTTAGATTTAATGTTATCGAGTTAGTGTTGTTTGTTTATATTTATTTATAACTTGAAACATGCACAAAATAAAAAAGAAAATAATATTAATCACATGTATTCACAATTTATAATTACAAAGATCAGCACACGTACACACCTATTCGTTCGAGAATCGTCGCACATCTGAGGGTCTGACCCTGCCTATCCTTCTTTTTAAATTAAGCACTCGTCTTTGCTCTTCCCTTTCTCTTACCTCTATCGCTCTAATCCATGTATGCTTGTGCATACATCATGATACGCGCCCACAATACTTTCGATTCGTCACTTTTCCGTCGTAGAGTTCCCATTTTACAATTACGTGACTCAGCCTGATGATAACGGAGAAAAGAGACAGTTATAATTTCACAGATTCGAGACAGCTTGATAGCCCGAACGGCCCCAGGCTTTCGCCCGTGCACGCTAAGTGACTTTCATTACAAGCATTTAGCTTTCCGAAGTCGATGACAACAATTGTTTGGCATTGACGGGCGCGAATTTCGTGCCAATAAGCTGCCTCGACTTGTTCGATTATGTTATCAACTCAATTTCATATTTATTTTCACATTTTCACTTCGCGGTCCTTCTCTGTTCTTTTTCCGTTATTTACAAGTGTTGGTCATTTGATATCATCATTTATCACATACTTCCATGACACTCTTGTTTGTCGGCTACAACTGCCAAGAATTAACGCGATTGGCGAAGCGTAGTGACAGCGGGCCAATAGAGAGCAGGATCCTTGCGATAATGCGGTTTGCCCGCCAATTTTCGTACGTGCGTTAATCAAGCCGAATAGTTTGACCGAATATTCGGCCACGCTCCTGGCCGAATATTCGGTATTCGGCCTGAGGCCGAATATACTATTCGTTACAACACTAATTATAACATATAAAACGGCTTACTAGAAAGTTTGAATAAGTTCGTCTTATTCAAGTTCTCACGAGACTCGACGTACTACTAAGGCTGCTATAATCTTATACTCGTAATTCGATGCGCCTATAGCAGGGATGGCGAATCTTTTTGAGTTTGCGTGTCATATAGTTTTAATATTTTTCTTTGATTAAAATGTTTATGCGTGCCGAAGTTTTAAGCTTCGAATAACGATATTTAATGAAATGAAACGAATATGCGTTGATTAGAATAAATGTAGAAAGGCTGTTTGAATAAAAGGGTGATCGAGTGATAAACCAAAAGGATAATTGAAAAACACATGTGATAAACCGAAATCGTTAAGTGCCAGATGATTTCTCCTGGTGTACCATTTTGGACACGCATTCCGTAGGTTGACACCTATGATTTATAGAATTGAGAAACATTTATGGGCTCATTTCATATTCTAAAGAAGGATAAGCTTACTCCAAGCGGACAGAAAAGAAAATTAAAAGATTTTAAAATGAGCACATGTTCGATTTGCTACTCGACTAGGCACAATTCAACTAAATTTATAGTCAAAACGTTCTCTTATAAAGCATTTTACGAGCTTTTAATTTGGAAACATTATTTATTTTTTTGAATAAATAATATTTCCAAAATTTTCAAGATAATTAAATAATAATTTTAAAATAAAATAACTATCGATAAATATAAATAAATAAACTTCTGTTTTACATTTAATATGAGTATAGAAAATTTAAATTTTAATTATATTCATATAAATGTAATTATTATATTTTTTTGATATAATCGCTAATTTATTAATGGATATTTTTTGTAGTTATCTTTTAAGAAGTAGCCTTATTAAATATGTTGCCATTATATTAGTATTAACTTGTGTAATGCCTCCATTAGAAGGGCACAGATTTCATTCTCAATAAAGCGATCTTCTCCTGTTTTCATTGTGATTGATTTCTCTTTATCCTAATGTTCTCTGAATGAAAGATAGCTTTTAAAAAACGTAAAAATTCGTATTGAATAAAGTCATATATACACTAATTTCATCTGTTTAATTATTTTATAGTGAACGTATCGGTGTTCGGCGAATCATTAATTTAGTAAATATAATATTAATCTTTTTTCGAATGATTATTATTTTTTAAATTATAAAAAAAAAAACAAAAGAGAGGAAATTCAAAATGGAGAGGGCGCTGATGCCGATTATAAGGCATCCTTCCACCAATAATTTGGTTCTTATAATCAGTGAGCGCCAACGCTCATCCTTGTTGATAAAGATGGCGGCAATTTCTAAAGTTATTCTGTTGTGTATTATTTTTATTACGTTTCTTACAATTGTTAATTCAGCCAGGTTAAACGTTGGAAGGCTTCTTCTTCCTTATAATCAAGGTGTTCCAACCAATTACACGCTAGAAGTTACCGGCGGCGGTTGTTACAAATGGTTAGTCTTTTATAAACTTCATTATCACAAAGTTTATGTGAATATTCCGAATAATTTCATTAGTAAAGAACTTATATTAAATAGGATTCATTGAATTACTTTCAATATTTAACTGACATAACGTGATCATGTTAAAACTCCATTTCAATCCACATGGTATGAAAGGAATGGAGTAAAATCTCCAATATTTTCCTTTTATTTACACTTTTCATATACAAATTTCACATAAAATTAATTTCTAAACAAAAAAAATTGATTTTCTTATAAAATTACCCATTAAAACTTTTTTAATGATGATTTACTTAAATTATTATTAATTTTTTAACTTTAAACATGTCTAATTCCTTAATTTTACTTGTACAATTGATAATTAAACATATATAATCACCCTGCAACTATTCTTATATTCATTAATGAAGTTAAAACCTTGCATGTTTTTATGGAGATTAGTAGAAATATATGTGTTATTCTATGTGAAATGCTTCTTTATATTGAAATTTTTAATAAATTAACTTGAAAAATTAAAATGATTGGCAAAAACTCTCTCTTGCCACGATTCTTGGCACTGTGCCAAATCTAGTAACTATATGAGTATTTCTGAACTATAATGATTTTACAAATGTTAATTTTCTATTTTAGAAAATATCAATAATTTTTATAACATTATATATAGCTTTTTTTAATTTATTAAGAGCATTAGATTATCATACATTAATTTTTTTTTAATTAATAAATGATAATGATTTCAAATTGTTCCATTATTTAATGGTTATTAGCCACTGAATACCTCAAATTTTACAGACTTTAAATAATTCACTTAAAATGCAAAATATTACAATTTTATAATTAATTAGTTTTATTTCTAGCTAAATTTATGTTGTCATAAATCATTGCAGTGCATATATTTTATTATAAAGGTAGGAAAAAAATTTTTTTTTAATTTAAAATAATTATCTTGCAATCGGTGAGTGTAGAAATGGAAATACTAAAATGTATTCTGATCATTGTAAAAATCAATTTTTAAATTAGGAAAATATCTGTTTTGGATGGGACTGTGAGTTTAGTGATTAAATTTTTAAATTCTGGCTAATGTGGCTGTATAATATTTTATTATATAATAATATAATTGAATGAGGACGAGGAAAATGTAGTGTAAGATATTTAGCAAATTTAAGGAAAACTGGAAAAATCTTAAAGAAAAATTATTTTACTAGAATATTAAATCTTAAATGAATAATATATAAATATATAGCTAATTCTTATAGCAATAAATAGACATTATTAAATTTCAAATGTTTGCATTCATGTATTTACATCTGGAAATGTTGATAGAATTATATGTGAAATTTAAGTAGTTCTCTCTAAATTTCAAATATAATTCAAATATAAAATTCAGAGAGACTGATTTAAATTTTAGAAAATTTTATTATCGAAATGAGAATTTATTTCTTAAAAAAAACATATCTAGTATAATAATTATTTAAACAATAATAGAATATTTTTAATTAAGGAATGGAAGTAAGAAAATTCCATTAATAATTTCATAAATTTTATATTCAAAAAGTTTTAAATATTTTATATATATTAATATTTCCATTAATTTTACTTTTTCTGAGAACATTTACTGGTTATTTTTTTTATGAGGGATTAAATAAATTGCTCAGACTTTATGCTTATTTGGATTTTAGGAATTACATAATTTTATAGTCTTTTTTCAGTTTTCTTTTCAAATTTACAATTATTGCTATTTGAACATTTGTTTTAATGGACTATATTAATTTCTATTGTCAGTTATATAACTACTTGAAACATACTTATGCTTAAAAATATGTAATTTTATCATATTTATCAAGATTTGTAATTTCTCTGCATTGAAAAAATTGACTTACTGCAGCTATTACATGGAGGAATAGGTTTAAACAGCCTAAATATATTTGGCATGTCTTTTCTTATCACTCTGTTGTGGTCTGATCTGCATTTAATCATGAATGATCAATACATATTTTCACTTTTTACTGTTAATATATTCATATTTATTAACACCAAAACTCTAAGAAGAAAAAGAAGAGAAAATGAGTTTGAAGATTTTTTTATCTACACAGTATTATAATTGCATGTAGATGATTATCTCAGTTACTTTTTTTATTACTAATCTCTCCCTAATGTTGATATGTTGTTTCAATTATTTAGATTTCTATTTGACATTAGGAAAAGCAAGAACTTTTGGAAGCATGAATGTTCTATAATTTTACAAATTAAAATTAATGAGAATTACTCCAAATTTTCCATCAATTTTAATGTGGTATTGTGCCAATATACATGGTCCAGTATACTGATATAACCTATCTTACACTAGAATTTCTAAAGAATAAAAAAATTTTCTTAACAAGCTTAATTTTCAATTTTATAAAATTAATAATTACAATTGAAATTACATAAAACAAAGAAATTTACAATTAAATTAATATTCTTAACTATATTAGGGGAGCATTATTTTAGCCTTATTAGGGAGAAGAATCTAACAAAAAATAAAATAATTTCTTGGTAAGCTATATAATACAGTAATTCCAAGATTTCTAATTACTCTCAGCTAATCAGGGTAAATAGGGTAAAGCATACTTTGTTTGCTTTACAATCAACTTATATGATGTAATAATTACATAAAATTTTACAAATCATAAAATTTATTTACAAAATCTAGTAAAAATTTACTTCTGCTATTTATTAAACTCTCGAGAGTTTTATAACTTTAATTATCAATATGATTCTATTATTTTTGTAGAATGCAATGTTCACTTAGTCTCTCAATTATGTATATTAGCAATTAAGACAAGATGTATTTAGAGCAGCTGAGATATAATAACTAAAACTCAGAAACAGAATAATGGAAATAAAATATAAATGTATGCAAGTAACTAAACATTAGAAAATTTGTATAGTTAAACTTATACTGGGACTTATATTTATTACATATTAATTTTTACAAAGTGATTCTGTTAAATGAGGATAGGTTATTAATACTGATTTATTTTGAGTATTTTATCTTTTATTTAACTTATTCCTTAATATTAACTGTAATTGATAAATTATTATTAGTGATAAAGAATAAAAAAGATAAGATGTTAGGAAGGATGCTGAACATGTCAGTTTATTGCTATAAAAAAAAATCATGTGTGACTTGATATTAATAATCAGAAAAATGTATAGCATATGTTAAAGTCAAATAATGATTTATTGAATGAATATGGTCAAATAATAAATCAAAATTTAGCTTATCTCCCTTTTTTCTATTACAGTGGAACCTATATATTCGTCATTAATCTGTTCCCAAGGACCTAACAAATATGAAATATGACGAATATAGAAACAATTTTTCTCATAATAAATAACTGATATTCAATTAATCCATTCCCATCCTGAAAAAAAGGTACAAGAATAAAAACTACAGTGGTACCTCAGGATACGAAATTAATCCGTTCCGAAACTGAGATCGTATCATGAAAATGTCGTAAGGTGAATCATTTTTCCCCATACGATTACACGTAAAACCAAATGATTCGTTCCAACGCGAAAAACATACTCAAATTAAAGCCAAGTAATACATTAAAAAAATAACTGTAGTAAAAAAAAAAAAATGAAAAATGCGAACTAATGTAACGTCGTATGGTGAGTTTTTGTTCGTATCGTGGAGCAAAAATATGTTCGAATTTCATGTCGTATCCTGAAAATTTCGTATGCTGGGGCGTTCGTAACCTGAGGTACCACTGTATGTTGTTTGTAAAACTTTACTGTATTTATTTAGTACAATAAAGATATAGTGGTAGAAGGGAAGAACAGTATTATTGTTTAGAAGAAGACATATCAATTAAAACATTAGGCAATTCCAATTATGATCATGGGGTCTGTTTTGCTGATGATTCAGTAGCACTCAATTTAATAAAGAACTGTCTAAAATTGTCCATTGTTGTGTGTTTTTGTCTGCTTTTTAAAACTTTTCTGAAGTAGGCAATTACATTATCATTGAATGTATTTGTATTTTGGTTGACTATAGCAACATTTGGGTGCCACATTGGATCGATTGAAACTTTGTTTCTCGCATTGATTATTTTTCAATAACTCAACAACACACACGATGACCACACAAAACAGACTGATACAGCTAGCTAACACGGCTAGCTGATCGGTGCAGGCAAGCAATTGTAGTGCCACTTCCAGTGTTGGGAATGATGACGAATATGGAAAAATAAAAAAGTCATCAAAATTGATGAATATCGAATATTACAAATATAGAGGTTCCACATATTACTTGTATGGGGATCCATTGTCAACTGCAATTTACTCAACCATAGTTTTGAAAGATGCTGATTATTAAAATCACATCTATTGTTATCAGACTGTTGTGATCAAATCCCCAATATATTTGTGTATTTTCTATACAAAATTCAGAGATTAATGTAATCAGTTTATGGCAAACTACTTATTGTTGATGCCAGCATAAGCTGTTTCAGACATTTTTTAGATGCTCTGCATTCCTGTGTTGCATTAAGTTAGAATACACTTAACCCAACAACTAACCACTTTATCCTATTGTACTTTTAAAATACTGTACACCATAAATCAGTACAAGTTAGTTAAAGAAAAAAAAACAAATGAAAATCCTTGTCAAATTATCATACATTTTGTCATTATCATACAAATACTATTGGAAATGATGCCTAATGTGATATTGTACCAAAAAAAGTAATCATTGTACATCTGACAATGCTCTGCATCATCAAATAGTAGCAGCAGGTTGGTGTGATGACTCAATAAATTTGAAATTACCCTAGTGAATATTAATGCTAGATTAGTGATCAACTTGTATTGATGCAGTTGAAGAAAGTGACAAGGAGATTGACATAATTAACCTTTCAACAACTGCTAAAATGCAGCAGGAACTGGATGTCTTATGATGCAAAGTACAATGTCAATCAAACAATTTTATGATATAACATTTTTAC